GAATAAATAAACTTAATATAATATAATTCTACTCGATCGATATTAATTTTACTTAATAAATTAAGATATTTAGTTATATTAATTTATTAAAGAAACTATTAAATTATCGTAATTTACGATTTAATTATTTATTAAATATAATACTAGGATTTCTACTTTAGTTAAAAAACTCGTTAAAGAAATATAATAGAAGTCTATATATTTCTTAGCTATTTACTAAATAAATACTAAAGAACTTTAGTTCTTCTATAGTTTTAAAGTTAAATATTAATTTAGAGATAGCTTACTAGCTAAATTTAAATTAATATAATAAATTATAAAATTTTCGTTATTAAGAATATATAATATTTTATTAAGAAGATAAGTAATATATTTATTAATATTATATCGATTATAATAGTATTATAATTTTATTTATTTAATAAATTTTATATCTATTTAGAAATAAAATAGTATATTCTTAATTAAGTCTAAATACTTTAGTAATAGCGATAGCGATAAAAGAAACTTCGAAGTTATAAAGATTAGATATAAGATCGATCTTTTAATATCTTAGTTAGTTTATCTTTAATAAGATTATTTTCTTTAATATTTTATATTAATACTAATTTTAATAGTTTATAAGATTTAATAATTATTAATTAATTATAAAGTAAATTAGAAATACTATAAGCTTAACTATAATAATCTTTAAGTTAATTAAATAAAAGCGATCGATATAATTACTAAATATCTAAAAGATATAAATTTACTTTTATTATTTTAATAATAATAATTAATTAATAGAAAAGTTCTTATACTTTTTTAATATTAAGGGTAAATTAATAATATTCTATATTAAATATAAAATATAGATTTTCTAATAGAATAGATTAGTTTTAGAATAAAGTTTCTAAAGTTTTATTATAAATTAAGATATAGAGTTTCTTTAGTAATTTTAAAGAAAGAGTAAAAAGAAAAAGTTCGATTAAAAAAAAATATCGAGAAAAAAAAATAAAAATATTAAATATAGAATAGAATAATAAATAATTTAACTAAAAAAAAAATTACTAAAAAAAAAAAAAAGAAAACTCTTCTTAAATAATTTACGAAAGAAATATCTCTCGAGAAGATAGCTAAGTTTAAAATTAAAGAGAATATTTCTTTAAACTATATTCTTTAATGTTCTTAAACTTTATTATCTCTTTTGTCGAGAATAGTGGATCTTACTATTATTCTCGTTTATAAATAAAAAATAATTAAATTAATATATTAAATTTTAGTTTCTAAGAAAAAACTAAATCTCTATAATTATTACTAAGAAATAAAAGTTATACTAAGTTATCTTAAAACTTAATAAAGAGAGAATTAAAGAGGTAGTAATCTACCTTAAAACTATAGTATAACGACGAGAAGTTATACGATTATATAATTATCTATATTCGATAGCGCTAGATAAATTGAGTATAGTGTATCTATTCCCTTCTAAATTATCGATAGTAGACGCGTATAATACGAAAGGTATACTATCGGGGTATACTACCTAGAATTAAAGAAGATCGGCGTACCTAATTAGCCGCCCTACTAAGGTACACTATATAATATACGCCGCCTCTTAGCTAAGGCTATTTTAAGTAATATTAATCTAGCGATCGCGAATAAAGGTTAAACAATATAAGTAATATTGATAAGGGAGCCTTAAGAAATACTATAAATCTAAACTATCTAAACTAAATATTATATTACACTATCTAATATAAAGTCTATAGATTTTAAAGATATAAAACTATTAATTAAATCTAATTCTTAGTTTAATAAGTTAAGTAACTATAATCTTTAATCTTAAGATCTAATTAACTACGCTAAGATATAAATATTTATAACTTAGACTAAATTAAATTTATAAGTTATAGTATTTTACTTACTAAGTTTATTAGTATTTATATTTAATATATAATCTTTTATAAATCTATATAATATATCTTTAGTACTAAAAGAGCTATTATCTACTTTTTTTAATATTAGTAAATAGTAAGATTTAACTTAACCCTTAGTTAATAAAACTTAGCTTAATATTAAATTTAATTTTTAATAGATAACTTCTATATCTTAGTTTAGTAGTATAAAACTTAGTTCGTAGATTATAAGGTTAATTTATAGTTAATCGAAGTCTTCGTAATTTTTCTTAATATATAACTTACTAAATCTAAAGCGATAGCGTTAGAACTAATTACCTTAAATAATATTAATATATTTAGTTAAGATTATAAGTTATATCGATAAGCTTATTGTAAGAACTTAAAATCTAAAGTTAACGACGAATCGACTAAATACTAAAGCGATTTAATATCTCTTATCTTTAAACGCGCTTATTACTTAAAAATATTTATAAAATCTATTTAATACTAAAGTATAAAGTATCGCCTAAAATACTTAGTTTTAAATTACGAACAAAAATCGTTAATTCCTAGCGAAGAGATATATAATAATAAATCTTAGTTATAATATTTATATAATTATAGATATATTAAATTAAATTTATTTATATTCTATAAATATAAGTATAATTATTTATCTTAAGGGTATATTAATTATAATATAGCTCGTATTATTAAATAAATTATATTAGAGTAATTTAATAGCGATATAATAAATTATTTAAAAAATTGTAGAAATATACTATAGTATATTAATTATAGTAAAATAAAATAAAGATTAATATTAATAAAAGATAACTATAAATTAGTATAATCTTAAGATAATATTACTTAACTCTTTTTATTGTAATTAATTAAATAAATTAATAATTTAAGCTTTACTATTAATAATAATATATTAAGTATTTAAGATAGTATTAAGAAATAATCTATCTAAACTAAATAACTTTATAATTTCTTTTAGATCTTTATTAGTATAGCGAGAATAAATAAGTTTAATATAATATAACTTTATCTAATTAATATTAATTTTATTTAATAAACTAAGATACTTAGTTATATCGATTTATTAAAGAAATTATTAGATTATTATAATCTATAATCTAATTATCTATCGAATATAATATTAGAATTTTTATTTTAATTAAAAAACTCGTTAAAAAAATATAATAAAAGTTTATATATTTTTTAGCTATCTACTAAATAAGTATTAAGGAACTTTAGTTCTTCTATAGTTTCGAAGTTAAATATTAATTTAAGAATAGTTTATTAATTAAATCTAGATTAATATAATAAATTATAAAATCTTCGCTATTAAGAATATATAATACTTTATTAAGGAGATAAATAATATATCTATTAATATTATATTAATTATAATAATACTATAATCTTATTTACTTAATAAGTTTCGTATTTATTTAGAAATAAAATAGTATATTTTTAATTAAGTCTAAATATTTTAATAATAGTAATAGCGATAAAAGAAACTTTAAAGTTATAGAGATTAAATATAAGATTAGTCTTTTAGTATTTTAATTAATTTATCTTTAACGAGATTATTTTCTTTAGCGCCTTATATTAATATTAACCTTAATAGTTTATAAGACTTAATAATTATTAATTAATTATAAAGTAAATTAAGAATACTACGAGCTTAATTATAATAATCTTTAAGTTAATTAAATAAAAGCGATCGACGTAATTATTAAATATTTAAAAGATATAAATTTACTTTTATTATTTTAATAACGATAATTAATTAATAGAAAAGTTCTTATACTTTCTTAATATTAAAGATAAATTAATAATATTCTATATTAAATATAAAATATAAATCTCTTAATAAAATAAATTAATTTTAGAACGAAGTTTCTAAAGTTTTACTATAAATTAAGATATAGAGTTTCTTTAATAATTTTAAAAGAAGAGTAAAGGGAAAAAGTTTAATTAAAAAAAAATATTAAAAAAAAAAAAAAAAAAATATTAAGTATAGAATAAAATAATAAATAGTTTAACTAAAAAAAAAATTATTAAAAAAAAAAAAAGAAACTCTTCTCGAATAATTTAAGAAAGAAATATATCTTGAGAAGATAGCTAAGTTTAAAACTAAAGAGAATATTTTCTAAAGCTATATTCTTTAATATTCTTAAACTTTACTATTTCTTTTATCGAGGATAGTAAATTTTACTATTATTCTCGCTTATAAATAAAAAATAATTAAGTTACTATATTAAATCTTAACTTTTAAGAAAAAACTAAATCCTTTATAATCGCTACTAAGAAAATAAAAAGTTAATACTAAGTTATCTTAAAACTTAGCGAAGAGAGGATTAAAGAGATAACAATCTACCTTAAAACGATAGTATAACGACAAGAAGTCGTACGATTGTATAATTACCCGCGTTCGATAGCGCTGGATAAGCTAAGTATAATGCACCCATTCCCTTCGAAATTGTCGATGGTGGACGCGGATGACACGAAAGGTGCACTACCTGGGTGCACCACCTGGAATTGGAGAAGACCGGCCCGCCCGATTGGCCGCCCCACCGAGGTGCACTATATGATGCCGGCCGTCTCTCGGCCAGGGAAAGAGGCCTGTATGAAAATTGGGACCTCCGGGCAAATTGTCGTCGCGCCGTCTTTTGAGGACTTTGTTGTTGACATGGAAGCGAGATCCCGTCGAGGTGCTGACTAGAGTCAGTCAGCTCTGCTGCCGTCGTTGGAACACACGACCGAGACCTGCACGGCAGTGCCGATGAAGGTCGAATATCTTGTGGCTCTGGAGACGGCCCCTCCCCCTCCCGAGTCCCATGTACAGAGTCACGGCCATCACCGCACTCACAGAGTCACGCCAGTCCAAAGCATACTCCGACCGACCGACCAACCTAACCTTGGCATCCGATAACTTGTCTAACGTTACCCATTATCACCCGTTCATGGTGATGTTGGCGATATAACTTGAAACCATCAAGTCAAAGGACTCTTCCTTGTTGTGATGACCTCAACTCTGTCGCTTGAACAGCCATTTACCCATACCAACTGCAGCCTACATTCTTGGCAGCATTCAGAGCTCTCGTAACGATGCTGCCCAACGAAGTATCCGTCCTCATCGTGGGCGGAGGCGGGAGCGGGCTTACATCGTCGATTCTTCTGTCTGATCTCGGCGTGGAATCTCTCCTGGTCGAGCGACGGCCCAACACATCCCACATGCCTAAGGCTGGTGCTCACAACCAGCGCACCATGGAGATTTTCCGCCGTCACGGCATAGCCGAGCAGATTCAGGCGATTGGTATGCCCGCCGAAACTCGCATTCGCACCACCTGGTTGACCTCACTCGGCGGAGACGGCGAACTCGACCGGCGAGAACTCTTCAGCCTCGATGTGAATGGAGAAGGCGTCTTCCGCGAAATGTTCGAGAGAGACAGTCCCGAACTCTCCGCCGGTCTGGGCCAATACCTACTCGAACCACTCCTCCGACGAAATGCAGAGGAACGTAACCTGGGAAAGGTATGCTTCGGGTTTGAGCTCGAACGTCTGACCGAGAAGAAAGATTCGGTCGCGGCCGAGATCCGTGAGGTGGCGACTGGCCAGGTGCACAGCGTTCGTGCACGCTACGTGGTTGCCGCGGACGGAGGCCGCACCGTCGGCCCAATGCTTGGTGTCTCAATGATCGGGCAAACAGGTCTCGCAACCATGACCAGCCTCTACTTTCGGGCGGACCTTTCCGACTATGTGAAGGATGATGTGGTTGTTCACTGGCTGGTAGGGCCACGTTTCGGATCCTGGACCGGTGGTGCTCTGGTCAAAGCCGGTCCGAAAAACTGGGATCGCCATTCAGAGACGTGGACCATGCACATCATGATACCGCCGGACGACCCAGATGCTCAAAACCTTACGAAGGAGCGCGCGCTAGTTCGTGTCCAGGCGCTCCTCAATCTTCCCGCGCTTGACTCCGAGATTCTCGGGGTCAGTCCGTGGCACATCGAATCAGTGCAGATTGAAAAGAGCCGCGTCGGGCGTGTCTTCTTTATTGGTGACGCAGCTCATCGCCAGCCGCCAACATCCGGCCTCGGCTTGCAGTCGGCAATCCAGGACGCAGACAATCTGACCTGGAAACTCGCGGCTGTGGTCAAGGGTTGGTCAAGTGAAGCCATTCTCGACACATACGAGACAGAACGAAGGCCCGTCATCCAAGATAATATTGAGTATGCGCTTTTCGCGTTCCAGAACCAATTCGCTTTCGAAGCCGGCATGGGACTCACCCACGCCAAGACACCGGAGCAACGCAAGGCAGTCTTTCTCAAATACCTTGAAGACAGTCCCATGGGACGCACGCGGCGGGCGGTTGGAGCCGAAGTTTTTGGGACTGGACGGATGGAACTGGATCCCCATGATCGCGAGATAGGCTTTCACTATGAGGAGGGAGTCTTGATACCTGATGGAACTCCTGCTCCATCCCGAGATCCAATGGGAATCGCTTACATTCCCACCACCCGACCAGGACATCGACTGCCGCATGCTTGGCTGAATGATAGAGGCAAACGTCTTTCGACTCATGACCTTGGCAGCGTCGGCAACTTCATCTTGCTTGTGGGCTCTGACGGCAAGGAATGGTGTGAAGCCGCAACGCGTTTGGCTAAGGAATCAAAAATTCCCGTTGAGGCTTGGCGGATCGCTGCTGGGGGTGATGTTGGCGATCCAACGCGCACTTGGTCGAAGCTCAGCGAAATCGGCACCGACGGCGCGCTCCTCGTGCGACCTGATCGCTATGTGGCTTGCCGCTTCAAAGCCGCCACGACAGATCCGTACAGGGCGCTCAGTGAGGCGTTTGAAACCCTATTGAACCCCTCGCCTCCTCAATGCAACGGCCATAAAGTATGATGCGGTGGTGGAAGCAGCTTTGAGTATCTCGAACAGCCTGCATTAAGCAAATCAATGAACCCATGAAGTAAAGTGACCGTTGTGCCTTTTCATCATGAGATCTTGATGAGTAACATCTGTCAAGTGGTCAGTCTCGTTTCTTATTGGCATATTTCCTATATTGAGCACATGGGATGTCGTTGGGCTTGATCAAAGAAGCTCCTGGGAAAGTGAGAAAGGCTTGAGATGTAGTCGTGGAAAAGGAATATGAAGGAAGCATGGCGCGTAAGCGGCACGAAAGTAGAACGTGGTACGTAGCGATGAAAACCAATTATCAGGTCTCTGAACTCTTCTAGAGTGCCTCGTAGTAGTATTTCAAAGCAATCCACATAAGTTCATTCGTATAGATCACCGATCAGATTCGATGGAAGTATTGAGGTACCAGTACGAGGAAATAAAATAAGATGTAGGGCGTAAAAACTCCCTAAGTCCACCTGCTAAGCGCAGCCACTAAGCTTTCATAGGATTTTAGCCTAAAAGAAGCAAAAGGTTTTGGAAAGAGAAAAAAAGGGTGTTGGTTTTTGAGGCATTCTGTCTATTCTGGCGTCTCCTTACATATCCTTATCTATCCTTGTATCTAAACCCTCCGCCTCTTTTACTATGGTATACGAACAGTGTGTACCATTCCTCAGTGAGGATATTGTTTAGTTCCAAGGTCCCCCGGCCTTAGAACTTGCCAAACGAACATTACTTGTCCGTTGAAGAATGTTTGTCTGGGATAAAATCCTTCTTCCACGTGCTATACAATGCGCATTTGGCATAGTTAGTAGGTGCTCGGACACCAATACCCCCATCACGCTTATCCGGATGATTTTCTCCAAGGGTTTGGTGACGACAGTGAAGAACGTGGTCGTAAGACACCAATTCCTGACTGACAGGCCGGGTGTTCCGCATCGCACGGATGAGCTTTTCCCATGAGAAGATGCAGTGATCTTTATGATAGTCCCCTGACATATATGCTTCTGTGTGTTCGCCCTTACGCATTTCTTCGTCCGACATAATGTTCCCATCACCGTCCGCATACCAGGTGTAATTTCCTTGCGCAAGGTATCTCTCAGTCAATACGCTGTCATAGCACGGCTCTGGGACCCAATCTTGCATCATAACGTCGTAGACACAACCCCGAGAGCGCGCTTCGGTAAAAGAGTATCCGCATTCAAGAACCTTGCCCGCCAAAACATCGTGGTCATTAGCTTCACCAGCGATATAATCGGTGGAAGTAGTAGGCAGTGTAATGTCTGCGGATAGGGTGGTGGTGGCAGTGGCATTCGCCGCGGCACTGGTGCTAGTGCTAGGTTTGAGCAGAGACGAGGCTAGGACCACACCAAACGCCGCACCTAGACCAGTGCTAGCTGCAAGAAGCATGTAGAGAACATATTTTGACCATGGTCTGCTGATGGGTTCTCTGCTGTCGTCAGGCTCGTCCTTGATGTCCTCACTTGGCTTGATGAGGTCGTAGTGGTGACTGGGCGCCATGGAGCCGGCAATTGAAAGCTGACGGCCAGCTGGGGAATGGCCGGGTTGGGATCGATTCGCGAAGGATAGAAAGCGTCTGAAAGATGACAGCGCCCCTAACTCAGCGGTCGAGTTGACGTTCAAAAGATGCCGATGATGAGCACGATTCAGTAGGCGGAGACTTACATTAATCCACCGTATCTACTACAAGTTTTAAAAGGCATGAGAGTTGACGGGAAGCTGGGGAAGAAGAGCACTAATAGATTGGCTGTCCCGTTGCCACTGGCTCTTCTCGCATCGAGTTCGATGCTTTTCGACCAAGATCCACAACCAACGAGGTGGTGGTCGGGACCGCGCCCTCAGTAGGGCCAGGTCTCGGATGGCGACAGTGCGAAAGAGAAAGAATACGAAGGAGTGGAGTTTTTGTTGGGGACAGTTCCAGGAACCGTGGTCCCTAGTAAGAATAGCTGCTGCCTTGATTGGCTGAGACAAAATAGCTTCCTGAGTTCGTTGGCTTATCCGGTTCCTTGATCCGGGCTACCTTTCCCTTTTAATGGTCCGTTAGACCTTTCCTGCTTGCCACCCGTCGATAGATCGATAGACTACGTTCGGTAGCTCGAAATGTGAGACTCGGCAAGATTTCATTTGATAAAGGTTTCGAGATAGGGCATCGTACTAATATTAGGATTGGAATGTTTGATTATGTTAGTATGTGCTGATGGTCATCTTCACCTGAGTCAGAGGAAGATTACGTGGAAACCACGCGAGAAGATAACGCAGTACAAGACACTCTTTGCTCCCGCTCAACAAGCACTTGATCATAGAGATGCACTATAAGGTAATACCGTCTCCCTAACCAAGTTACCGTATCCAAGGTTAATCGCGTGCGCTATAATTATCTATAAAGCTGTTGAATGCTTCCTTTATATCGTAGCCATAAAGCCCCATCAAAACGCTGGGCAGTGGCCACTGGGCGTCTATATCGGCCTGGACCTTCAGTCTTCTGACTATCTTTTCAGACCCAATGTCCCGTATCTCCTGTAAATAATCATCCGTAACACGCCTGAAGCGACTCTCGCGAGCCAGCTGTTCGAGTCCATCGCGTAACATCCAGGATTTGCCATTGCCCTTGGCGATCGAAGCTACACGAGCAATGCGAGGCTTCCGAAATTTCTCGTATAGACGGGTGAGTCGACGAAGATATTCTAAAGACCTCAATCTGGAGAGTGCCTCGGCGAGGGCTGCGGCATCTTCGAGTATCATCACCTCCCCTTGCGCGGCGTGGGGAGACATGGCATGAGCTGAATCACCAAGCAGTACTGTCCTACCAGACCTGCTCGACCAAGTGGATAACTCTGGAATCTCGGCAGTCGCCCACTTTGCACATTTCTCCGGTCAGCTTCTGAATGAAGGGGCTAAAGTTGGCAAACTCTCGTTGGAGCTCTCGTGGATCGCCTGGTTGATTCCAAGATTTCACAGGCGTTCCCTTGTCTCTCAGAGTCCCCAAGGCGACGTTGAAAAACCTGCCGTTCCGAGATGGGATACCCCACGATGAAGCGACCTGGTCCGAACCAAGCCTGTGTATCTGTACTTGCCATCTCCATCTTCGTGGCGGTCTCCTCGTCTCTCATCATCACCTCCGCCGGAATCATCGCGCGATAGTTGTACTCTGCGAATGGGACAGGATGGGAATTCTCGTTACCGGCAATGGATGTTCGCGTCTTTGACCGTATCCCTGGCGCGAGATCAGTGATCCACGTTCAAGTATCGGAAACTGGTTTGTACCCTCTGCGCCAGTGACGAGACCCGGCTCCAGCACTTTGCCATTTGTGAGGACGACAATTCCCTGCTCCGTGTCGACCTTCACAACCTCCCTTCCATATTCAATCGAGGCACCAGCCCTGCGAGCCCCATCAGCCAGAAGTCGCTGGCAGTTTGGCGATAAATTTGCCAATAGCTTGACTCGTTATTTATCGTTCCAACTACAAGTGAAACGACAATACTCACGGGTGCCGTAAATCTCGGACGCATCTGGGTTCTGAGTGTTGAGTCCAATTTCCGTGTCGTCTTCCCACCTCCTGGCCACCGACCACCGCGGAACGTTAACACATTCGCGAAAAGCTTCACTCAGCGCCCAGGCAAGCCCCCAGGTATCAAGAAGCCTTGTCGCATTGGGGCTCAGCTGGAGGCCAGCGCCAAACTCCGAGGGACCAGCATTTCGTTCAAGCACCGTGACAGGCTCCCGTTAGCGTCATCACGAGAAGTAGAGGTAAGGGTGCCTTGTAGACCTCGAAGGTCCCCGGATGGACGACTGGGCTGTGGCGGTTCCAGTGATGGAAATAGAGTCGTAGAAATTTCCGGATATTCGCGGGTGTAAGTGTCGACATCCCAAGGGCGAGATTAATGTTTGGGGCATGTTCTGGGTGGCTGCGCGGAAGAGCTAAGGTCAGGGCGGTCAAGTGATCCGCAAATTCCGCTGGAAGATCCCTGTCCACGAACGTGCCACTGGAAGGGTATCCATCGTCTTGTACGGTAGCTACCACCATGTCATCCTGATACTCACTCCGATCCATCACAGGGAGAAGGATGTCTGGGGAAACCTGATCGGGGGAATCCAGGTCGAATGGGGAGGAGAACAATGCACCGACATCTGCGGACGTGCCTAAGTCGATTAGAATATCGTCGGATGGCGGGAGATAGCCTGTATTCGACGGTGTCGATAGCAAATGCAAGTCGAACCAAGATTGTGAGCCACATAAGTGTGATGGCCTCCAGATTCGCGGGGATTTGTTGTATCATCCGAGGTTTGAGTGCTCTCCAGCACCAAAGGATCATCACTTATTCGCTGGAAGGTGTCGGTGAGCCGACTGTTAGGGTTGGTCCAGTTCAAGAGGAATGGGATAGAGATTTTGTGAACGTTCGGGCCATTTTCTGCTGATGTTTGTATGTGCATCTCTCTTGCGCTGTTGCAGTCGCGCGCGCCGGGTGCCCGATGTAGGTTTTGCTCGGTGCGAGAATGGGTGCATTCAGCGTCAGAGAAGAGACAATTCTCGCACGGCAGGTCAAGATCGCAGGATACCTTGCTCCTCGCACAGAGGTCGCATGCCTGTTTTCTCCTTCCTCGTGGCAAGCGGTCTGGGATCTGTCGATGACCTCTTTGAGGGCAAGACCGGTAGTGCCGTCTGAGAACATCCCTGCATCCGGCTAGATCAGTATGATATCGCTTTGGTCGAAAGTTGATGATGTATTGATTGTGCACGATGATCACTCACGATCTGTAGTACTTCTTCGTGCAAAAATCGCAAACCCAACCCGATTCGCATCGCACTTTGCGGACAGTCAGGATGCCATTGTATTTTAAGTGGTAGCAAAGCTCACCGCGCCCAGAGCCTGGCTTCGTTGGAAGGAGAGTAATCCGAGCATTTATACCCGGGAGATGCGCAGACATCAAGCCATAGGATACTGTGCCTGGACGGCCTGCCCAGATATTGTTCAACAGAGATGACTTGGAAGATCCGCTCTAGAACACCTGCCCAGTGCTTACTCCTCACGACCAGTTTCGGCGATGAACACAACACTTTACTTGTAGAAGCGTGTTGTACGATGTGACTCACGTTGGTGGCGAGGGCAGACAGATTGAATACAGAAATCGGAGGTCTCGGGCCATTTAAGAATTGATAATGCACTACGTGACTACTTAAGTTAGCCGGACCACACGTGAACCCCATGAGGGCCTTAGGCTTAGGGCCTGCACTGGCGGGGTCATGGTTAGCTTACTGCAACTACATCGACTCCATGAGGGTTGCGGATCGCCAGCGTACCTAGAAGCGCCCAAGGGAATACGGCTTGAAGGGCTAGCCACGGCTACCCTCGCCTACTAACAGCACGACAGGGCTTAGAACTAGTGGAGAAAGAGGTGGGAAAAAGAAGGCTCAATTACCTCGTAACCATCGTTCAGCTGGTGGCGTCCGTTCAACTTGGAGTTTATTTTAGCGAAGTAGTTTCGGAAAACAAGGTCTCGCCAACCTCATACGCCTTCACATGGTTTCTCTGCTTGGGCTCCAACTGCGACACGATAAGTTTGGGATTTCTGGGACCTCTCTTTGTCAACGTAATGGCTATTCCTTTCACCTCTGGCTGGACAGTCATCCCATCCAAAACGCCAGTGTCCGAGCCGGTCCGGGTATGCTATATTCGTTCTGGCACACATGGCCTCCCGCTACTCACAGAACATAAAGTGCCTCACAGCTGGTGTCAGCCCGTGTACACTCATCACACGACCTCCCCATGAACCAGAGCCGTGATTTATTGACCTATCGGAGGTTTTTTACGTGTTTTGCCATGTGCTTCCGTACATTAGCTCTCGTATATAGCTTCTCATACACGAGCTAATCTTGGCAGCTGAAATCCTCCCGCATTTATATATACATACTTTTCCACTGGAGTTCGGACAGCTTGGTGTCTATAACACGAATAAATCATTGTCACAACAGCTCCATACACCATAACACAATGACAACTAATGGGCATACTGACGGTGTCAGCTCTGGGAAAGCTATCGAAACACGGCTATTCATAAACAATGAGGTAAATAGGTCCATCACGTGTATCAGCTTCATTTGCTAAACCTCAAGATCAGTATGTCAGCTGCAAGTCTGGACAGACTATCACGGTCAAGAATCCTGTAGATGACTCAGTCGTCACGTCTGAGGTGCAGGTGGCCGGTCCGGCGGATGTTGATGCTGCAGTGGCCGCTGCTAGAGCAGCTTTCAAAAGCGGACCATGGAAGAGCTTCACCGGGCTCCAGAGGGCCGTCTGCATGAACAAACTCGCTGACCTGATGGAAGCGAACATGGACGACTTGTGCAGACTCGAAAGCATCGCGATGGGCCAGCCCATCGTCGTGGCCAAAATCTTCATTGGCCTCAGCATTTCACAGTGGCGATGTGAGACGACCTTCTATGATCCTCTCATGGCGAATGGCAATGCTGACGTTGGTTAGACTATGCTGGATTCGCAGATAAGATTGGCGGCGACATGTTTCCAGAAGATGGAGATGGAACGTACAAGCTTGTCCGGTACGAGCCGCTTGGCGTGTGTGCGGGCATATCTGCTTGGAATGGAACTCACGTCTTCATTTGTTGGAAGTGTGCTCCTGCAGTGGCTACGGGAAACACTGTGAGTATCTCCTTGACCAGCCGGTTTGGATATTATCAGATTCTCACCATTATCTAGATCATTTTCAAGTCTTCCGAGAAGTCTCCTCTAGGAGCCCTTGCCATGGGCAAATTGGTGGTGGAAGCCGGCTTCCCACCAGGCGTGATCAATTTCATTTCAGGGGGTGGAGAGACTGGTCATCTACTTGCCAGCCATATGGACATCAACAAGATTAGCTTCACTGGCTCTGTCCAATCCGGGAAGAAAGTCCAGCAGGCTGCTACAAACAGTAACCTCAAGCGGGTGACACTGGAGCTCGGAGGGAAGTCGCCTTCACTTATCTTCAACGACGCTGACATGGACATGGCCCTCACTCAAGCCTCTCAAGGCTTTCTCACCAACACCGGCCAAATCTGCGCGGCCGCTTCGCGCACCTTCGTCCAGGAGGGGATCGCGCCCAAGTTCGTCGAAGCATTGAAGGAGAAGTTCGAGCAATTCGTCCACGCAATGGGCGACCCACTCGCTCCAAACACATTCCTTGGACCCCTCGCCGATCGCATCCAGTTCGACCGTGTCATGAACTTTTTGGAACAGGGTAAGAAAGATGCCCAACTCCTCACGGGCGGTGGCCGCCATGGCAACAAGGGCAATTTCATCGAACCCACAATCTTCCTCGACCCGCCCAAGGAAAGCAAGATATACACGGACGAGATCTTCGGCCCAGTCCTCGTCGTCAAGACCTTCAAGACCGAAGAGGAAGTCGTTGAGCTCGCCAATGACACCTCCTACGGTTTGGCCGCGTATCTTTATACGTCCGACATCACACGCGCATTGCGCGTCTCGGCAAACCTGGAGGCTGGCTCGGTCTTCATCAACGGTCCCTTCATGCCGACCATCAACACGCCGTTCGGGGGGCTCAAACAGAGTGGGAATGGTGGCCGAGAATCTGGGAAACATGGGCTCATGTCGTATCTTGAGCCAAAGAGCATTCTCATCAAGTAAGTTGGCAGTGACTAATTTCTGGGTTTGGCATGGCGCAAACTGACGGTGATCGTAGCATGACTGCGTCGTCGAAAAATTAGGAAAGGCTGGTGCAACTGGCATACCCAATTTTCCCATTTCTGGTCGCTGTAGCTCGGGTCAGCACTCTAGGCAAATGTGCGTTGTGCCATTTTTGCGCCGAATCACCGTCACGCATACAAACTTCGGACTGTCAATGGCTTCAAAGCGCATATAATGCAATGAATGGATTTCCTGCTCCTTCAAACATAGTTTCATAAGTATAATGGTTGCGCTAAGGCCATATAGGCATCTCTGCCCAGAAGCAGCTGTGCTCTACTCCCAGCAAAGAGATCCACCAGTTTGCGTACTTACCTCGTTTGCAACGAGAGAACGGATGGACGAACGATGATCCGCTTTCTCCAATGTACTCAATGCCGTGCAGCTTGATATCCTCGCCTTGCTCAGATGTGCTACTGGTGCCGGCGGCGCTAGAGTGCTGAATCTGCTGGCGCGGGCTGTTTGCTCTTGACGGTGGCTCTAGCCGTGTAGAAAATCCTCTTAGTCCACTGGGTATAGGGCTCACTGGCTGACCCTCGTAACTGGCGGCGCGAAGATATCGAGGAGAGGAAGGCCTGGACGAAGCGCCTATCGGACAGCAGCATTTATGAGCCACTTCTTACGACACAGTATGCAGTAGAAGCCAGCGTAGAGCTACCAATGCTTACTGCATTTACTGTACCTCTCTTCGAATGCAATCGCAGCCATATTCGGCCGTTGCTTACCCTCACTGTCGTGCTGCTAATTCAAGCATTTGCTGTCGTGGTTTTGGCTCGCGTCTCCAATTTCGGTGGCTTCCTTCGAGGGGTGGATTGGCTAGACTGTGGGGTGGTTCCCGTCGATCTGGTTTCCAGCTTCTTTGGCTTCTTCCTCGGCGTAGTTTCATTTGTCTTTGGTGGGGATTGTGATTTGGTGGTCTGACTAGGTGCTTTGAGAGGAGTAGCTTGGGGCTTTGGAGGAGCTTGAGGCTTTGCTGGTGCTTTAGGCTGCTGACTCTGATTTGATGCTGTCGTGGTCTTCGGCTTTGCTGGTGCTTTTGGTTGCTGGATCGGATTGGATACTGTCGCGGTCTTTGACCCAGTTTCAGAGTTGTTCCCTTTGGATTGTCCGCCCAGCCCTGGTATCGACGGCATTGAAGGCATCGGCGGCATATTCGGCATGGATGGCATACTGGGGATGTAGCTTGTCAAATCCTTGGCCCATTGCTGGTAATCCTGCTGACCTCGCCCTCCGTCGTCATCCCGCATCTCCTGCAGTTCTTGTTGACTCGGAGCTTTCGTCTGCTGCGCGCCCATCACCATCTTCTCCAGCTCCTTCTTCTGACTTGATGTGGCCTCCCAGTTGGGAAAATCGCCCACAATACTCCTTACACCTTGACTTGCCATCTGGCCTAAATCCCAGAACGGACCACTGATAGCGCCGTATGCAGATCCAACACCACCTCCCAGTAAAGCACCCGCCGAGGACACCACACCACCGACCAGGGCGCCGGTCAATTTGCCCAGGGTAACGCCGGGTTGGACACCGAGGCCAGCACCGGCAGCAAGGCCCTGGAACGCGCCCGAGCGAGTATATTTAGCGGCCTTGCCAAAAGACTCGGCCTCGATCTCCTTGTTGACGGCTTTGGCCAAAATCTCTTCGCGTGCATTTGGATCACCGGCACCATACGCTGCCTGGCGGAGTTCGTAGGCTTTCTTGGCGGCTTCGAGGGCGAGCTGGGCGCTCATGGACGAGTTTTGTTTCACGTCATGCTCCGGGATGGCTGGTTTGTCAGGAATGGAAGATGCATTGTTGGCTTTGGGTTTGGGAGCACTTTGTGATCCTTGCTTTTGCTGCGGTGTCTGTGTTTGCGGCTTCTGCTGTGGTGTCTGTGTTTGCGGCTTCTGCTGTGGTGTCTGTGTTTGCGGCTTCTGCTGTGGCATCTGTGGTTGTTGCTTTCTCTGTGACGTCTGTGTTTGCGGCTTCTGCTG